GCAACAAATCGGAAAGCGTGCGTTTTTAAATTTTGATTTGTATTGATTGTATTCGCTTGCTTTTCAGCGTCTTCCTGTGCTTTTAGTTTTTCTCCTATTTTGCTTTTACGTTCAATTACAACTTTTTTGATTCAGCCGCGAACAATACTTTAATAAATTTCTAATATTTCTAATGCTATCTTTGTGCGAATTTGCTTTAAAAGAGACGTAACTTTTTTCGTTTTTACTTCAGATTGGAATTTCAAGATTTTGGCCTTTAGAATTAGAATACATAATATAATGTTTATACATATACATATAATAATATGTAATATTAAAATATTTTATTTCTCCCTCAATTTCTTGATTAGGATACCCTAACGCTCAGTCTGTACATAAACAGGAGGAACCTAAGGCTGACCTCAATCTGTCTAGCCCACGATAGGGAAATAACAACATAGTCTTCTAAAGCAGGGATCCGTGTGAACACTAAATTTTATTTGTCATTTATCAGAAAAGCCAAATATTTGGCTTCTTGTGGCAAATCAAAAACAGCCTTAGTGGCCAAATCGTGTGAACGCAACCCTGCTACTTAAACCAAATAAAAATTACGCATATGACCAAATATCTGATTTGCCACTTGATGACAAATGCTTGTGACAAATATACAAATATGGTTGAGCAGTATTGCCATTTTATTAATATGTTCGAGATTGTGAAGTTTTTCACTCCAATTTTGACACCAATAATTTTAAAATATTTGTTTAAAATGAACCAAGGCAAATTTCTACAAGGTGATAGCAGCAGCACAAAAACAAAAAACTACACTAATAAATTAAACGCACAATGACAATGAGAACACAAATAAATAAAATATATAAATTTTTTAATATACCACGTTTCTATAAATGGACTAAAAAATATAAAATAATATGGTTGTTCACGCTTGCCTGAGTATCAGGTTATCTTGTTATGTGGTAATATTTTTTATTCAGTTTACAATAATAAAATACTCTACAGAATAATTTTGTTTTAACCAGATAGTCCATTTATAGAAACGTGGTATATTAAAAAGTATTTTTTTATTGTATGTTTTTCTACTTTTTAGTCTTGTCTGTATACAATTTTGCAATAGATATTAAAATAAATCATTGAGATTCTGATACATATATGTATCGTATTTTATCAAACTGACATTTTATTTATTCTCTCTTACAACCTACGTGTATATTCTTAAGTATGTACATACATATGAGCAGCAATTAATTCCATTTAAATAAATGGCGTGTCGTGCGGTTCCCCTGCAGTAGCGCATTGCATATTTTCAGGCGTAGTAATAATGCGATTGTTAAATATTTAACTGCTCCCGGCGAGGTAGATGTCTAGACTAGTTTGTTTACAATTGCCGCAATTCGCCTTGAAAATTTGCCTATTATTCCCCGAGCATATCTCAAGATAAATTAACAATTTATACATTGTTGTAAGCGGCGAAATGTATTTTTCATCGGGTAAACAGAAATAAAGTTATGGGCAAGTACATGCAAATGTGCTTCAACCAATGAAAAACGCGTTTTTAGACCTTATGCATATACATAATTAGACCTGCTTGATTAAACAACCTCAGCTATGTCTCAGGGAAAGTATATTTTCACTGTCAATCAACAGTTTATTGTAAAAGTGGTAGTGATTTTTTCTTCGACTTGGTAATTTTTTCGTCTATACTTGGTTAAAAACTTTTGTACTGCGGCAACACTGGGTCTTCTCGCCCCAAAATCAGCTGTTTTATCCATTCAAGTGAACACAAATAAAAACAAAATACATTCAATTATTAAGTTGCTTTGATTAGGTTTCTTTAAAATATCTCGTATTTAACTTTAATCGTTAGATATTTTGGTGAGTTAATGCCTTTACATGAATAAGTGTACATATATATGTTAAAAACTGCAATTTATAATAGACAATGGAAGCGGTCGAAGATTTAGATCAGATTTTAATTACTGCAGTATGTGAGGATGTAGCCTCGACATCAACACCAATTAAAGATTCTGAGAAAAAAAAGAGAAAACGGCCGCATGTAACAACAGCTTGGACACAGGAGAACATCTTTAAATTAATTAACGCCATTGAAGTTCATTCATGCATATGGGAATATTCTTCTAGCGACTATAAAAATCGCCAACAAAAGGACGATGCATGGAAGCAAATTCAGGAAAAAATAGTTGTTCACAGCATGGATGAATGCAAGGCGAAATGGAGCAATATTAAGATCTCCTACAACAATATAAAAAAAAAATATGCAACTAAATCTGGTCAAGGCGCAATCGAAAAACCCCACTGGCCGTTCTGGTCTGCGATGAAATTTTATTATAATCATGACCGTGCTAAAACCACAACATCAGAGTCAAATCTGAGGTTGGACAGCGAGTCGATATTTCAAACGATGATACTCAGACATCCAGTGTTAATGAAAATGCAAGTACATCGAGTAATAAATCGCCAGACGACATTTTAGTGTCAGCAATAAAAATGCTTGAACAAAAAGATGACAAATGGACAGTTTTCGGGCAATATATGGCAATGCAGATGAGGGATATTTCTGCACAGGACGAGCAAACAGCAAATGAACTACATGCGGAAATTATAAAGAAAACAATGGAAACGCTGTTGGCTGTTAATAAGACCAAATAACAGAGTGAAAATCTCCGAGCTAACCAACATTTTTTAGATGATCGATTTATTTCCGAACAAAAAACCATTTCGGTAAATATATAGAAAAAATGTCTCCCATGTGTACCAACTATGTAACTTTGGCAATTTTTGGAGATTCGCATTATTTCAACAGATATTTATGTTATCAGAATTTTAGTTGCAAGGCTTTGAATATTATTACGTATAGGTGATATTACATTCCGATTGATATTTTTGCAGTCACAAAAACCGTGTTACATGTCCGTAGAAAAGCACGAAACACTGTAAAAATATCAATCGGAATATGATATAATCACTTATACATAACTATTCAAAAAACAAGGAAGATCTGTCAATTAAACTGCAAGTAACATACTTGAAATAATGCGAACCTCAAAAAATCGCCAAAGTTATATAGTTGGAACACTTTGAGGAATTTTACCCTATATACATATTTATGTATATTCTTTTCATATTTCTAATGAATTACTTTTAATTTTCTTGTTAATAAAATTTTAATTGTGGCACCTCCCACAAGAACAAACTGTTTACCTCTGGAATCGTGTATGCTAAGGTACTGAAATTTAGTAACATTTAAAATCTTATCAATATCGAACTAGCAGCGAAAGTGAAAAGTATTGCAAGAGGGGGAGTTACACCTTCCGAACAAACAATTGCTCATAATTTTTTGTTACATGGAAGAAAATGCGCAATGCCGTCACCAAAAAAATATCAAAAATGAACGCGAATATCAAAGCACTTCATACTTGCACGCTATTATACTGAAATATAATGGGCTATAAAATTGCATACCATAAGTTATTGTTGAAATTCTATTTGAACTTTTGATGAAAACGTGTTGAATCTTCTAAATTGTATACAAAGTTTGAAATTTGGATTGTTGGAATGAATGACTTTTATTTCTATAAAAAGATGAGCATTAAATAAATATAGAAACGTGGTCAAAATTGGTCAAAATGTTGTACAACTATTATTATGGCCATACGTGTATGCTGATTTCTAAACCAACACTCCCCGCCTGAAGATGTGTACTGACCCAGATGTTTATATTTTAAAGTCTATCTGACTTTTTTCAATTTTAACTATAGGTTTCATGAAAACATAGTTCATTCAATAACATAACGTCACTACACACGAATAAAGGCGCGCTAGTGTTTTGACGGCGAAAAAAGGCGTTTAAAAATATTTTGCGAAAAAAGATGCTTATAAAAAACTTTGGCGAAGTATGTTAAGAGTATTTGACGCTGAAGTTTTTTATGCGTCTTTTTCGGCGTCAACTTTTGAGCTCGCGCCTTTATTCGTGTCTAGTGGCGATAAATCATATACATAAATCAAAGTTCAAAGTTTTGTAAACAATTTTAAGCAAAATTTCAGCATAATCAAGTGCAAGTTTGAAGTGGCCAAAAATTCGCCTCGATTTTTGATAATCTGAATACTGATTAAAAATTTTGAGTGATTTTTCCTCGACGCTTTCAGCTTTGGTTTATGTAGATGGTTTATGTTATTTTATGCACTACTATATTTTTATAAAACATTTAGTGAAAATTGAAAAAATCGAATAAACCTTAAAATATAAACATCTGAGTATTGTTTGTAATCATCCGGTTGGGCACTGTAAATACAATCATTATAATAATTAAGTACACTAAATATTTATTGAATAATGACACATACCTGCGAAATTTAACTTTTCCCCCTCCAATAATTATGTCTTTTTTTAATATCGAGGTATGTCAAATTAAAATATCTCTTTGGTTTTTTCTAACACGTCGTGGTTTTTTTTAATGGTGACATGTATATTTTAGAAATTTTAACAACTTGCATGAGAAGCCAAAGAATAATTAATTTAGAATTGAATTTTTACTTAAAACACAACAGTATTATTTAAAAATATCCAAAACGAGACAAAGTAAATCAGAAAAACTTATGTAATTTCGAAGTTAGCGTTAGCGTGTTAGCTCTTAAGAAAATAATTTTTGACAATTTTCTTAGCGTTAACATCGAAATTAATAAAATTTTATGATTTACTTAGTCTCTTTATGGGTATTTTTAATTAATAATCTAAAGTTTTTGTTAAAAATTCAATTCTAAATGAATTATTTTTTGGCTTCTCATGCAAGTTGCAAAAAATTCTAAAATATATATGTCACCAATGAAAAAAGAGGTATTTAAATTTTAGATATCTCAGTATTTGGAAAAAAAATTATAACATAATTATTGGAGGGGGCGGGGGGTTTAATTTCGAAGGCCTGTGTAATTAATTAAAATATGAATTGATTATGGCCGCGTTTTCGAGCGTGGGCTATACAAGTTTACAAATGTCTGTATTGGAATGGTACTTCACCATTGACAGACATAAAATATTCTTCAAATTCTCTCCTTATTTCCTTTGCTTCATTGCTTATGTAATTGTTTGGCTGTTCTACTGTTCCTTCTTGAACTGGTCGAAGTGAAACTTGGTTAAATTCAATTGGTATTAGATTGCCTTCCTCATCAGTTTGGCTTTCCACATAGTTCGAAGATTTCGTTATCAAAAAATTATGCAAAGCACAGCTAGCCATGGTGACCTTTGTTGTTTTAGTAGGATTCAAACGAATTGGTCGGGAAAATACTTGAAACCGTTTGGCCATTATTCCAAACACATTTTCAACAATACGTCTTGCTCTTGATAAACGATAATTAAATATGCGCTGGCCAGCTGACAAATTTCTTCCAGGGTATGGCTTTAGTAAGTGCTTTTGCATACGAAAGGCATCGTCTGCCACTAAAACGTATGGAACATTAAGTTCGCGGCCTTCCAATGGTCTAGATGAAGGTAGTCCAAGAGAATTCATGTTCAAGGCGTGCTGGAAAGTTGATTTGCCAAAAACTCCACCATCGGAAACTCGTCCATTGCAGCCAACATCAATATATACGAATTTATACTCTGCGTCTGCAATAGCCATTAGGACTATGCTATGAGTACCTTTGTAATTAAAGTAGGTACTTCCGCATCGCGTCGGAGCTTCCATTAGGATGTGCTTCCCATCAACTGCTCCTATGCAGTTGGGGAAATTCCATTTTTCATTGAATTTTCTGGCAATTTCATTCCATTGATCTTCATTGGATGGAACCTAAGAAATGAATAATCTAAAATTAAATTTTTCGTTTATACTATAATGGGTGTATATTTACCTGCAAATATTCATCTTTGAGTGTTTTGTAAATTGCATCACAAACTTCCGGTATGAATAAAGATATAGTGTTGGGCGCAATACGAAAAACTACAGATAAGCTTTTAAAACTGTCCCCTGAAGCGAGAAAGCGCAGTGTACAAGCCAAACGTTCACAGTCTGGAACCGCTTTTCGCATATTTGTATCATTCTTTTTTACAAATGGAGAAATCTTTTTAAGAAGTTCGCTGAAGGTCGTTTCGTTCATACGTAAGTAATTTTTAAACAAATATTTTTGATTATTTATTTCCCGGAACTCGCGCAAAGTTTTTTCGTAAGCGCCCTCGGTGCACCTTTTAAGGAGCCATTCGTTCACCCAAACACTTCGTGGAGTCATATTTCTTTTCTTTCTAGGAATACTATTCTTTTCAAGACATCTTTTCCGTTTTATATAATAACAAATGTATATAATCGCTGCGAGTTTCTTTTGCCTTTGCGTATCCATTATTTTTTGTATATTTCACTTAAAATCTCACAATATGTATCACAGATGCAAAAGTATGGTTGAGAACTGATCAGCTGTTTAAGTATTTATGACCAAATGGTTAAACCGTGTGAATGAATGTGGACAATATTTGTCACTTCTCTGTCGTGTGCAAATGTGTGACAAATCATTTGGATCTTTAGCAGCCAAATCGTCTGATCGCAAAACAAATCATTTGCACATCGATATCCAAATGCGCAAATGTGAACAAATCTAAATTTGGCATTTTCTGTACAAATGTACAAATCGTGTGATCCCTGCTTAAGAGTAAACATAAAGCGTTCATTATGGCAAGTGTTGAGAATGCACACCATACAACCTAGAGAAGCAGCAACATCAACGAAAGTTCGTTATTAACAAAATGCACAATTACTATGACAATAACTCTGGTCTCGAAGGATGCGGTGTAGGTGATGCCGGACTGGGTGGTTCTTCAGGAGAAGTCCATTTCAACTCGATCTACTTCCGGTCGAACAAAGGAACGTTCCAAGCAGAACTGTAAAAAAACTCGATAAAATGCTACCCCAAAGCTCTACTGCAGGCACACAAGGAAATTGGGTGGAATTGAAGAAATTGGCAGACCAGTATGTAGGCAATACTGTGGGAAGATAACACAGCAATTCTTGTAACTACCTTTCAACTAACGATAATCTGTCGAAAGGCACAAGTCTTTCAAAAAACCTAGATATATATTTTTCTAAAAAAAAGGAATAAATAAAGGAAAACGAAATTGAAAAAAAAGAAAAAACAAAAAGAAAACCCAGCGAAAATAAGTATTAATATTAAAAAAAAATAATAATTTTGTTTCTTCTTAAAACAATAAAATCCGAAAAATAAATTAGAAAATGAAAACTACTAAGTCAATGAAAAAGATAATCTACTATCTACTTAAAAATTAAATAAAATTAAAAAAAAATATTTTTACTTTTAAAACCAAATATAAAAATTAATCTAAAAAATACAAAAAAATAGAATCATAAAAAATAAAATAATATCGTAAAAATTATATGAAATAAAAAAAAACATATTTTTCTTTTTTAAAAAATAACATCTAAAGAATAAAAGAATATGATATTAACAAAAGAAAAAACAAACTAATTAAAATAAAAAAAATTAAAAATAAATGTAATAAGATTCTAAAAATTAAACCAAATATAAAAAATCTTTTTTCAGCAATAAAATATAAAAATGGAATGGAAACCAAACTAAAAAAATGTAATTTAAAAAATAAAAATTAAAATAAGTCCCAAAAATTTAATAAAAAAAAAAAAAATTCTATTGTATCGCCGAACTAGTTTGGCAGTAGTTAAAGGGAAGGCCAATGCGTTGAATACAGCTTGGTTGTCACTACAGACACGTAAACTTCTGCATCTACAAAGGCATATTCCCCAAAAGGGAAGTGAAAGCTACCCCCCGTAACTTTCCATACAAAATAAAACCCTGACCCTTCGTCTATTTTGGAGCCATCTGTTTAAATTCGACAATGGGCCATATGAATAAAAAATAAGCAATTACTTTTTCTTAAATATCAGAGAGTTTACTCGATTTATTCAAATAAGGCCCAATATGTAAGCCATTGCTCACTGTTGGGATTAGGCCAGCACTCAGAAAGGGTGGAGTATTATCCGGTGGCATTGAAAACACACAGCCGCTGTAGCTCGGTGGTTAGAGGCGTGTACTACTTCGCCTGAATTAGAAAGCGGTTTTCTAACATCTATCGCCCCAAGGCAGGCAATTGCAAACCTTCGAGTGCATTTCTTTCATAAAAAACTTTTCATCAAATCCATTTGTCGTTCGGAGTGGGCGTAAAATTGTAGGTTCCTCCATTTAAGTAACAACATCAATACGGACACCAAAAATTGGAGAAGAAGCTCGGCCAAAGACATAGCAAAAGTGTAGTTATTAAAATAAGTAGTATGGTATTAAGTATTACTATTATTACTATTATTATTAAAAATACATTAAAGTATAAATTTCTGCCTCCAGAAACCATTTTTGGACTGATAAAGACATTAAGTGACGGTAGGTCTATGAATGCATCAAAATGAGCCCTAGGTCTTGTAGAAAAATGTTCCGTAGGCCATACTGCAATCGTTCTTCAAAGTTTGGCAAGTAGGTTTCCCTTGCAGCTAATTGAAAGTCTGCTCCACCATAGTATAGATGCAGAGCTATGATGAGTCTTATTATAGAGGTGCAAAGCCACAAGATTCCTATAGGTGATAGGCCAGAAGTTTTAACAAATGTCTGCTTATATTGCCGTAACGCTGTTAGGGAGTATGGAGGTATTTTCTTAAACTCGAGCATTCCAAAAAAGATCACAATCTGGGATATTAATTTTTCTTATTTATTGGCGCTTTAATTACCAAAGCGAACATGACCGAGTCCAACAAAGCACGCGTAGTCGTTTCATTTTTGTGCTAACTGACGGCAATCGGAAATGCCAGGTCTCTCCAGAAAAGGCAGAGGGTTCCTCTTTTCCTGTTACCAGTATCGCGATCTAAATGTATGCCTCCAATAAACTTTCACCTCGCTCCTAAAAGTGATTGCCCGTGGATAAAATACTAAGTGGCAGTAGGTTTGTAGTGCATCCAGAGCCACCCAAGCTTTTGTAGGGAAAGCAGCGATCGTTTATCGATGTGTGGTTAGTAGACTTCCCATGCTATTGATTGTAATCCTACTCCGCAATTCATAAAAGGCCAACGTTCATTAAAGTTCGTAGGTAAGTCATTAGTTTTGAATTACGTATATATTTAATCCTGGCCTAATATTCCTTGTATGATTAATTCTATCTCGTGTATGAATGCGGCATGATTTAACCACTCTAAACCTAATAAGCTTCGACGTCATTCAATCACGCCAACTCCGACCATATACATATATAGTTGTCATGGTTTATTGGAGGTTTATACATACATTCATACGTACATATGCGCACATCGTCAAACAAACAATTAACTCAATGGAATACTTTTCGTTCTTCTTAAGCACATTTTAGTTTTCTTTAGTTTTCTTTGCCACTTTGTCCGTTTTGCACTTCAACGCTCTTTCGAAAACCGCTTGACAACCGCAGAGTGTTTGCTCTGAAGCTCGAAGTCTTTCATGGAACATCACTCGGTGCGAATTAGAATAAAAAAAAAAAATGGAAGCTTTGAAAACTAAATTCTCTACGACACCACCATCGACAGACGCTGTCAGCTGTTAGTAAAGCGAAAACTTTTTTATCTAGTCAAATTTGGCGCGAAGCAAGCCGATGAAAGAATGCGCGCTTATTCACTTCCGTTAATGTTTTTTTTTTTTGTTGGCTGCAAGTAACAAAGTGAAAGCGGAGGCAACAGCGGAATGCAAAGTTTTCTTATAAAAATACCAACTTCCATTGGATTAAATTTAGCGCCAACGCAAAATGTAAAACAAAATATTTTAAGACCTTTTTATTTGCGCTGTTTTTCTTTGGTTTTCTTCACTTCTTTTATTTTTTTCATTGCCTTACTTTGGTGCACAGTTTTTCATGTTGTCAAGCAGCTGCAGCAACATTGAGGCATGCAACAAACTAAATTGCACTGCAGACTTGCTAAAAAAGTTGCAAAGCGGCTTAAAGCGTTGAAAAGTGCAACACGGAGAATGCAGTGGGTGGGGATTTTTGGGGAACGAGTGCGCGCCAGTGAAAAGGTAAGCGGAATGGGTACGAGGTGAGTTAGCCATGCAGCAGCAAAAAAAATAAAGCGCGAGCAATTGAGTTACAACGATGTAACAACTTAAGCGTTACATATATGTATGTACAAACATAAATACGTACATACAAACAAGCAAGTTTTTTGAAGTGCTTATTAGGGGACGAAAGTATAATAAGGCGCCAGTTGACGCGTATAATCAGCCAGCCGGCTGGCCATTTTTCGAAGACCGTGCTGTCAATGAGAAACATGGTAGTGACAAAGTCTCTTTACCGTTACAAATTTCAAGCATTCCTCTACCGAGGCACTCAATGCAACGCAACACTGCTTTTGCCTGCCCAATCCCACAACACGTCGTAGACGCCACCCCCAGCGCCAGAAGTACTAACAGGGCGAAACTTTTCCATTTAAATGTTGTCAAACGATTTGCATTTCCTGAATTGTTTTCTTAACTATGCGGCAGTAGAAGTGTCGAGCGTTTGGTATTAAAAAGTGGCAAAGTTTAGCTTGGCGCGGAAAAGGGATAAGAGCAACATAGTGAGAGAGAGAGAGAGAGAGAGAAAGTGCGGCACATCAATTGGTTGGCCGACGTTTGATGTTGGCGATATTTTTCGCCTGCTTGCCCTTTTTCTTTTTTGCGCTTTATCACATCAGCTAACGCTTGTTTGTTGTTGCCCAAAAAACATGCTAAATGACGCTGGTGACAAGCTGCTATTTCTCTCGTCTTGCTTGCGCTTATATTCATAGCTTGCAACTTTTTGTATGCGCTTGTGATTGTGCAGCTGTGTTTGTTTTGGTGCAGATTTGCGCGAAACCTTGAAATTGTAGAATAATTGGCGGTTTGTGTTTGTAAATTTTTTTTGATAGTACTTTCGTGTTTTTTTTTTTTCTTTCATGCACATTTCTGCTCCACGTTTTCAGCTGCTTCATTTTTCATCATTAATATCTGGTGTATTTATCTTTGAAAATATGGGAGTTTTTCAAGAACTATTTTTTACTACAAGAACTATTCAACAATGAAGTTTCTACGATGAACAGAACCCGAGATATAACAATTTGAAGAGGTACATAATTATTTTGTCAGAATCATGAAAAAATCCAAAATTTTACAGATCACATATTCGAAGAAAAAAGGAAAAATGTGAAGCCAATCGAAATTGTGACACCAAATTTGGTGTCCAATATGAAAAAGAATGTCTCATATATATATTATATATGTATATTATAACACAGAATAAAAGTAGTGTTAGAATTGTAATATATTATTTGATTATTTGTGGGGTCGCATTTTATAATTCCTTTATGCCATTACAGTGTGTGAATGACGTTTTTTTTTTTTAATTTGGTCGTAAAGTAAATTATATCCCGGGATCCCGAGGGCTTGATCCCGGTATTTCGGGACTCAAAAAAAAAGCTTGGGACTCCCATGATTCGGGATTCCGCATCCCGGTACCAGATGCCTTAGTGGTGGGGCAGCCTTATATTGTAGGAACTACTAAAATTTTATGATTGTGAGCCGT